TTTATTGTGCTTCTGCCTTATTAATATATAATTGAAAATGTAAAATTTTTATTTTGCCGTTTCAATATTTCTCTTTAATTCCCTTGACTTATTAATTTCTAATTGAAAATGTTAAATTGGATTTTGTCAGTTTTTGCATTCAACAATTTCTTGACTCAACTATGCATACAAATAGAATAGAAATATTTGTGTGTTGAATAAATTTGAGGAATTCTACGAAATACATTTGGCTCAACTGTATAAGGTTAACACTTAGCATTTCAAGTAAAGCAAAAATATTTTATATACATTTGGTATAGAAGTTGTGCAAGGTATTTGAGTTATTTTCATAACTTCCCTCGCACTTGTTGCCCCACTCCCATGACTCGTGCAGTAAAGGAAACAATTTTTCCAAATGTAATTATCGGCATATTTGTGCACAAGTATTCTACATACTCGCACTCGCACTCGCACTCACACCCCCACTCACACCTCGTGTGTGCGTGTGCGTCTGCTTGTATCCTTGTGCCAGTGAGTGTGCTGCACGTGCCTACTGAAATGCCAACATGCTGACTTGGGGTCTCACTGAGGCGTTTGTAGTTCAAAGAGAGTGCCCGCCGCCCCAACTTGTTTTTGTGGCTTCGCTTTTTATAGCCAATTCGCCTGCTCCTGACGGAATATGAGCCAGAGATCTTTGGCACATCTGCTTATATGACACGTGGAACTTGCCCAAGTGGTGTGTGTGTGTGCGAGAGTGTGAGAGAGGGAGTGTGCTTTGTGTAAGTCATTATATCTTATCTGATTTTAATTTGCAGCAATTTACCTTCTTGCACCTGTTGACCCATGTATGTTAATCTCCAGGACCCCCAGCCGGCTGGCTGCCTGGCTGGCTGGCATTACAAATATGCAAATGCGTAATGCGAAAATGTAAATATGGTAATTTCGGTGAAAATTGATTTTGCAATTTAATTGAAAACTCAACAGAGGTTTTTGTTGCGGCGCACATATCGTTGTCGCATTCATGTACGTTTGCCGTTAGCGTTATTGTTGTTGCCCTGATTGTTCAAGCAGCTGCCACAAATTGCATAAATACTTGAACATTCCCACTGCCACATCTTTCGCACATCGTTTGCGACTTTTTCCTAGATTGTTTTTAATGACATTTAAATTGCCAAAATTACAACAGCATCGCACACATGCACACTGATGTGCTGGAAATCAATAATCAGAGAGTTCAATTGGAGTCATTGGCAGATCCAGATCCAGCCAAAAAAAAGAAAGAAAAAAGCGACCAACTGCGGGAGCTGACAAATGCGCCTGATATATGTTCTAGTCTGGCTCGATAAATTTCATGTGACGCCACGTGTGTGTGTGTGTGTTTGTTGACTTGCAAAAATGCCAGGGGGCGTGGCCAGGATGTGATATATGTATGTGCGGCATGTGGATAGCAATGCAAACATGGCACCTTAATCCACAATAAAAATTAATTGCATTTTTTTCAAACACATAATTATGATACGGGGGAAAGCGGCGCGACATGAAAAACGACTCCAAAGTCACGTTAGTTCACACTGAGACAGACAATTGCAAAAAGTCAGGTGGCAGCACTGACAGCACACACACACACACACACAGATACATAGATATAAGATCTCAGCATTTTGTTACAAACTTCGATAACATCATTTATCTTCACTGGCCACAGGCAGCCAACGGCGAGACGAGGCGGGGCGGGGCGAGATGAGGCGTTGCCCAAGTCAAAGACTCGGCGCGCCGTTGCTAGATTATTGTGGGGCAATCCGGGGAGGGGTCATGGCACAAAAATATTCCTTCTTTGGCTATTTATTGGCAA